TCTCTTTCTAAATCGGCCTGCATCTTCTGTATGACTTTTCCTTTCTTGTGGGCGGGCGGACGGCGCTGGGGGCGGCGGAGGTGGTGTTGAAGGCCGTTCGCCGCGGAGTATCTGGATCCTTCGTTCGGCATCAGCTTCTTGCATGAGACGCTCTTCCTCCTCTTCTCGGGCTTTCGCCTGAGCCTCGTCGCGCCGAACGCGCTCGATATTCGCTGGATTGTAGACGTTCCATGACTTCTTGCCGAGGAGGTGACTGCAAAAGGACACTGTAAGTACTCAAGCATGCTAAGAAAAGGGGAAGCGGGTATACTGACAGAGGCATCTTTAAGGTATGGAAATGTCATGAACTGGTGGGGGATGGAGACGTCAGTTCTCCCTCCGGCTGCGTGAACGAGAAGCAGCGTCATCCAGACCGGTCGGCGAAGACGGAGGTGGGCGGACCGACCGATGGGGCGGGAACCCTGGGTACCTTACCTACGGTCCATGTGTTGCGGGCGCTGGAGCTTCCGCCCCCCCATCCAATGTGAGACCGCCACCTCTCATTATTCTTCTTTCTTTCCATCCTCTACCTCACTTCTATTCCATATATTCAGCTGCCTATACTCAACATCACTTTTTGCTTGCGTACTCATATACTATCTAGTCATAATCTGGTCATTTGAGTACTTGGCCTCAAGGCAACAGCTGCTGGCAGCATCGCTTCGCCACATTTAACCAGCCTATACATACCCTATCCTCGTCTCGGAACTCATTGCATTGCATTTTCCTTTTTAATTCGCAACTCGAAGTCCTCTTCTATCTGGCCTGAAGATGTTCAATCGCAACAATTATCCTTCCGTCCCTAATCCTTTCGGCTCCCGCCCCTCTCGAGGTGACGGTTATACCAACCCAGCTCAAGGACAATCCCCCTACCCCTCCAGGTCGGGCGCAAGGTATGGGCCTCACACGGCACCATAATGAAATAACAGTGGTTGATATGCTTGGTAATTAGTCCCGCAGGATACGGAGCGCCACCCCAGTATCCGGGAAGGCCGCCGCAAATGCCTCCGAGAAACCCCGTTGGAGAGAAGCCTGTGAGCTCAGGCCGATCATGGACGCTGCGTCCTGCCAAGAGCCCGGATAATACGTATACATTTGGGAACCTGTACGTTCAAGTGTGGTCGCTGTCTTGCTTGCTCTTCTCCTAACTGTGTCTAGGGTTGCTGTTTCCGCCCAGGAATTCCCACCCTCCCGCGATGGACACGATCTCCTCCTACTCATCAACGGTCTCTACGTCTTCTCCGCGCGCCCTCTCGATGGGTTCCCCCCGGGACAAATCAGCATGTCTGATCCTCAGCGGACATGGGCTGGCGTCGCTTTCACGGATACCGTTTCGGTGCAAATCTACGACCCCTTCAGTCAGGGCGGACAGGCCTACGTTGGTTCTACAGATATTGAGGTTGGGTTTGCTGGGAAGAAGCGGGTCGAGACTCCATATGATCAAGATGAGCTGGCAAGTGTGGTGATCAGGGTACTTTCCCCCATTTCCGTTGGAAGAAAGAGCAGCAACTGATCTGTACAGAATTTTGAAAACCAAATCTTCGCCCCCGGCCAAAAGATATTGATGGATCATCGAAGCATCCCACTTCTGTTGACCGTCAAAACCGTTCAGAGAGTCGATCTATCCTCTGAGAATGCCAGCGGTGGCAGTGTCGAGACGGATCCTACGGCGCGGGGTATTCTCACCAGGCACTCCCAGATTACATTCTTCAAGGATGCTAGTACTGGTATCAACTTGAAGCCCTCGAACCGCCGACCGGCGGCGAACTCCATCATTCAGCCTGACTTCAAGTTCGAGAACATGGGCATTGGTGGTCTTGATTCCGAGTTCAGTACTATTTTCCGTCGTGCGTTCGCGTCCCGTATCTTCCCTCCGGGGTTGGTGGAGAAATTGGGACTTCAGCACGTCAAGGGTATCCTGCTTTATGGTCCTCCAGGAACGGGTAAAACCTTGATTGCTCGTCAGATCGGAAAGATGCTCAATGCCCGGGAGCCCAAGGTCATCAACGGACCGGAAGTGCTTAACAAGTATGTTGGTCAGTCCGAAGAAAACATTCGGAAAATGTTCGCAGACGCCGAGAAGGAATACAAAGAAAAGGGAGATGAAAGTGGTCTCCACATCATCATCTTTGATGAACTGGACGCTGTCTGCAAGCAGCGTGGCAGTGGAGCTGGAGGTGGCACGGGTGTTGGTGACAGTGTGGTGAACCAGCTGCTCTCAAAGCTGGATGGTGTGGATCAGCTCAACAATATCCTACTCATTGGAATGACCAACAGAAAGGACATGATTGATGAGGCACTGTTGCGTCCTGGTCGTCTTGAAGTTCATATGGAGATCTCTCTTCCTGATGAGAAAGGCCGAGCCCAGATTCTTAAGATTCACACCCAAAAGATGCGGGATAACGACGTCATGGATGATGATGTTGACCTGGCCGAGCTGGCCCTGATGACCAAGAACTTCTCTGGTGCTGAAATATCTGGTCTTGTCAAGTCCGCATCTTCTTTTGCATTCTCTCGGCATATCAAGGCGGGCACGACAGCCAGCATCAGCGATGATGTCGTGAACATGAAGGTCAACCGGTCCGACTTCCACCATGCGCTCGAAGAGGTCACACCTGCGTTTGGTGTCTCTGAAGAAGAGCTCTCTAGTCGTATTCAACACGGCATCACACACTTCTCGCCCGTGATCAATGAAATCCTCAAGGAGGGCGGCCTGTTCGTCAAGCAAGTTGCCGAGGATGAATCCTCACCTTTGTTCTCGGTTTTGCTACATGGGCCCACCGCAAGTGGCAAAACGGCTCTCGCGGCTCGAATCGCTATAGACTCTGGATTCCCCTTCATTAAGTTGATCAGCCCCGAAGACATGGGAGGCTTCAGCGAAACGGCAAAGGTTCAGCGCATTATCAAAGTTTTTGATGATGCTTATAAGAGTCGCACAAGTGTTGTTGTTATCGACAACCTCGAGAAGCTCATCGAGTGGGTTCCTGTCGGCCCTCGCTTCAGCAACACAATCCTGCAGACTCTGCAGGCCGTGTTGAGGAAGCATCCTAACAAGGGTCGCCGGCTCTTGATCATAGCAACCACTACGCAGAGATTTGTGATGAAGCAGCTTGACTTGTTCAGCTCCTTTGATGCCGACATCATGGTTCCAAATGTCATGACCTATGATGAGCTCAAGCACATCTTGGAGCACTCTGGCGCATTCAACGAGCAGGAAATTGGCCAGGCACTAGCAGGCATTGGCAGTATATCCGATGACGGAACCATTGGAGTCGGTGTGAAGAAGATCTTCAGTGGGATTCAAACGGCTAAGAAAGACGTGGATAAGGTTGGTCGCTTCGTGCAGGTTATCAACAACGCTATCGAGGCAGAGCGTTCTGGTGTTTAAGGAGCGTTTGCTCTTTCTCAAGGTCTGGGACCATCTTAAGATTGTCGCTACGTTGGCTATTCGCTTGTAAGCTTATTTAGATGCTAAACTCAATAATAATATGGCTTGTTACTAGACATGGTGCACTACCCAGATAGTGTTGTTCCTTGCAGCCAAGGCTTGCTGTGGTCTGAGCGTGGAGACTGCACGAGCTGATGGAGTCGTGGTGACAGTGCGACGAATCAATGGCGACAGGCGATTGTCGGATCATGTTGAAAATTACAACGGCTTCAAGACTTTCGATTGGATTGCCCCGCCAAAATCTCAACTGAAGATATGGACCCGTTCTCTTACTGTTGTAAATCGGCCCAACGCCTCTGCAGCTTAAGTTGAGTCGCTTGCTGCCCGCTGTGGCGTAATGGTAGAATATTACGGAGGCCCTTCGCCTTTTATGACCGGGTTCTACCCTGACGATCTTATTCTTATGTCTGCTTATGGACAATATTGTTTATCTGGTACTGCTGTTTACTTTGTAGCTACTGTTGATCGCTTATATGGTGATTATTATTGATTATACATAGTTTAGAGGTTAATTGTAGACATCTTATGGTTTAAGGTATAAGTACGATCAGAAATATAAAATCTACCAGTATGAAGGATCAAGTAATCACAATAGATTACCTTTTGCACTATACCTTATGTTGAATAATACAGAATAATATTGAATAGTGTATACGTAAAGATGCTTTAGAAGAGAATAAATCTTCGTGAAAAACTAATCGACATTATCGTTCAGAGAGCTCCTTTTCCAACGTAGTATAGAGGCTATGGTATCGATGCCTCCGGCTGTTGTAGACTCCTGTTCTCCCTGGAGTACCCTTCGAAGGAAGCCTGGGGGTTAATGCTAGTTACACAAACAAGAACCGAACAATATCATCCTACAAGACCGCCCACCAGTACGATAGTATTTTACTTTTTGTGGTGAGTCTGTCCCCCCGCTTTAGCTGCAGGATGAGACTACTTCTGAGTGGAGACTCATATCTCATGTGTTAATCCTGACCCTCAATTGCATCTTGGTAGCTCAGCGGTCTCGATAACAGACATTGGCTATTGGGTAGTAATGGAAGATTCCTATGGAATATTCCGAACTATTCGCGTCCGTATTTTGTATCTGCCTAAGCTCTATCATAACATAACTCGTTCGGGATTATGCATGATTAAGGTGCCTTGATGCTAGGTAAAGCACACAGCATATGTCGCTGCCATGCGCAAAAGTGCCTGTATGATGTATGGGAGTGAATAACTTACAATAATGTGAATTGTATTCTATCGAGATCGTGTGGCAGGGAACTAATTCCCTCGTCCACTTCACTTCGCACCCACACCTGCCCTCTTCCCTCTTTCCTCTTTCCTCTTTCCTCTTCCCTCTTCCCTCTTCCCTCTTCCCTCCCATTTCCAACTCCTTTGTTTCTTTTGCTTGCTCCACACCTTCGAAAGTCCTTTCCTTCCTATATTTGCAGCTCTTGCTTCGAAAGTTCTGGATTACAACACTCAACACCACCGCAAACGCTACTCTAAATATCTACCAACAACGATGGCAGCGTGCACTTTCACACCCAAACAGATCCTGAAGAAGGAGGTGTCACAGAAAGAATATGAGTTCCTCCAAGAATGGGCCCCCGACACTATCAAGGACTACACTCCGATCAAACCTGGCAATCCGGTAGACAGGATGCCCAAGCATCAGACGATGCCCAGCCAGCCACACGTCCAGAGCCCCCGACGGGCTAAACCTCGCTCGCCTCTCTACGAGGAATGGAAGGTTCAGCCGCTACACAGAGAGACGTTAAACGAGGCTGCAAAAGCCACAGGCGCTTCTGTGAGCATGGAGAATAAAACTAACGGGATGATTCCTCCTGCTCCTACTACAAACGTCAGGGTTAATGGCAGGCATCCTAGTAACTCGTTGGACACAAAGATCCGCCAGCAGGAGCCGGTAAAGAGTAGTCCTGTTTTACATAGTAAGTATCAAGTCTCTTTGTGATGCCGCAATATAATAACGATCTCTAACGTTTCGCGCTTTGAATAGATCATTATGCGAAACCCACCGCTAGCACTAATAACCGAGTTATCGCGAACCCTGTCCCTAGTGTGGCATCCAAGTCGGGAGTGCCCAGGCCTGGGCCATATAAACCTGTGGAACAGAACAATAAGAGGGTCATGGTGAGCCAACGCAGGCCACCTCCACCGCCTTATGTATACACCGCACCAAATCGTAAACAGTTTCGAAACGACGACTTGATCAGATGGTCGGACGGGATCAAGACTCTGAGCGGTGCTATGGCCTACTTTCAACCTAGTTTCATTCAAGACCCGTGGAAGGACATGAAACCTGCTGTGACGAAATTCCTTGAGCGATACTGGTAAGACTTCCTTCCAGTGTTGGTTCGAAGTGATCGTTGTCGCGATGCATTTCTGACATGGGTGTAGATGAGTTCAGATCAAGCAGCAGGAGATCCTTGAGATTGTGGGAGTAGTAGGACCTAACTTAAGAAGGAAATGGTATACTACATTGCTGTGCCATGGCTATATGACGTCGTGCGGTTGTCAAGTGATATGTTGGGAAAATGCATGCTGATAACTTTCGCCGAGTAGATGAACATATCATCAATGGGAGAATAAGCGACACTTGCCGGGCACGGACGCTTCGAGACGTTCTAGGAAGTAATGCTTTCATTCCTTAGTTCAGAAACGGTTAGCAAATGAGTAGCCCCTAAGGCAAATAACGGGAACAAGGACAATCAATTCATTTCTAGTTAAGGGAGCTCTATAGACGCTAGAAGGTATGCCAAACAACCACCTCAGTATGCATCGTATCAGCGACATTCATAGTTGAGTGTAGAAGTATTGAGAGCCAGTTGGGCAGCCCAGATCCAAATATAGTACACCCCTCAACCCCGAGCCCCTGATGAAGTTAGCCCAGAAAAATGAAACATGCTGTACCGACCATCCGGGCAAAGTCAGACACTCTCATCTTGAGAATAGAAAATCGAAAAACAACTATGAGGATCACATAAATGTCACACTAACCGGTAACTAAGTGAAAAAATTATCGTAAGCTTCAAACTAGAGATTCAGGCATGACTAACCGGGTAATAAAACGTTCCTTCCTTTTTCCACCAAGCTCTCGATAGTTGGCACGACCTATAACGGCAGGCACGGCCTTGGTCATTGATAGATCGACTCCCCCTTTGTCGCAAAATTAATGGTGGTCTACTTAGGGGTAGACAAGTACTTCCGTCTCCCTCTCCGTCTCCCTCACACATTTGCGAATCGATTGAACTATATTCGTGCTCACGCACTATTATGAAGACAATCGATCTATTTCTGTATTGTTCACTGGTGACTAGTGTGTGATTGGTTAGTATAGCCTTTATTTCACGTACTATTTGGCTTCCTCACCCCCCTCCTCCCAGCCAGGGGATGATGTACAACTCCACGTCGCGGTAGTGGAATTCCCCTCCTGTAACAATTTACTGCAAGTATTCCACTAACTGTCAAATTGAAGACTAAAAATAGGGTGACGCATATCAGAACATTGCATCGTGAAGCTTACACAATATTCTCCACTGTCTAGAAGCTACCAACCGGCTATCGACCCCATATTGCACCTTCCAACACAAATATGCCTTCTGAGTATGACCACTAAGTATTTAAAGTTTCACTTCGTGCAGTGCAGGGTAAATAATAACTTCTGGCTAATATGACAATCATCTTATGGCCATTGGCTGTGTGACACAGTTGCAAGTCGACGCCTAGAAGCTCCAACCACACCCTGTACCATGACATGCATGACCAGCCTTAAAGCGGCAATCAGCGTGTTCTAACCATAGGGCGGAGCGGAGCAGGCGGTACAGCCATGTCCGCTGGCGGAGTGGAGTCAGCAGAGGATCCAGTTCCGCTCATCCAAGGTGGGGGTTCCCAAGGACGTCGGCAGCCGGGATTGACGGCAATGGTCCCCCCACCCTCGAGTCAACACATACGTACAGAGGGATCTGGCAGTCTAAGCTCTAGTTCTCCTAAGAGCTATACGAAATGTAGAATGTATCGCCGAGAATGTCGCTCGTGAGACTCGGGGACATCCCCTGGAATGCACTGCAGGATACCTCAGAGGACCGTGCCACACTCCCCCCACAAGCCCATCCCGCTCTAGAGTGATTTACTGTGATTCGGGTTGGCACATGACCCAGCCCCTGCTCGTCACAAGCCTGATTGTGACTCGCTTTTCACCTGGTTGCTTTGGGCTGATGCACAGTGGGCCGCATTTCTGGCACGTGGATATTACCTTATGGCTATGATCTCACCCGCCACCGCAAGCGCGACTGCTGTCGATGTTCTAGAGAACCGGAGCTCGAAGATTGAATGTATATTTCGCCAGATTCAACGTACTATGATAGAGCGACGCGTCCACCCAAAGATACGGCGCCCGAGAAAAAAGCAAAGACATGTACCAGCCCAAGACCCCTTCAGTCGCGAGATAACGCAAAAAGTTCAAGTCGCCCTTCGAAAATCCACGCCAGATCCGAACCCAGAAAACCAGTTTTACCTTATACAAAACCATTATCGTCGTTGCCAAATAGAGGTGCGTGCCTCCAATAATCTGGACCGATGTGAAACCGGACCGAGCCAATATAAGCCCTTGGCTTGGGATTAATTGTCGTCGAAAGTGTACTTCTTGGTCGCCCGTCTATACTCGTCGGGAAAGTTATTTTCGGCCTTCGCCTTGAGAGCACTATGTCCGTGATCTGTTAGTGTTTAGGGTATTCGGAATAATGGAGGCTTCGGCTGGGATGCAGCACCTGCTGCAGCAACTGCGCTGCCAAGAAATATCTTGACAGCGGAGCGCAGCGGGCGCCTGTGCTCCCCGCCGGCGGAGCGGACTGCCTCAACTGTCGTATGTGATACAGGAGGGCTCTTAGGAAAACTTGGAAACTCACTTCACACGCTTCTGAGTCCATTCCAAGTCACGCTTGGTCTCGCGAGCAACTTTGATACCGTCGTTAAAAGTGGCCCGCACCCCTTTTAGACGACGTTGGGCCAGGGCTTGCAATTCCAAAAGCTCGCGCTGTTTGGCGTTCAACTGACCGGAACTATAGTTTTACACGTCAGTTTGGTTGTTGTTCCCGTCTCACTTTTGTTGCATGCCAGAATCCCAAAGTGGTCCAACCCAAAGGCAGCTGGAACCCTTTTGGAATCGCAAAGAGGACTGCTTACGTTTGTGCCTGCATTGCCAATCCCCTGTCCAAAGGTGTGGGATCGAAGACGTCCTGCATGCGGTCATTGAGAACGTCGACAACATCCACACCAGAATACGAGGCAGAGCTCGTTTCATAATCGCCGCCAATGCTGCCAGAGCTGTAGCTGAAACCTGCAGAGGTGCGGCTTCCTGCAGTAGTGCTAGTGTCAGAGATATCTGGAGGAGATCCAGAAACTCTGGTAATGGGATAGAGGTTGGCAGGAGCAGGAGCCTTAGAGGGAACATTGATGGGAAGAGAAGGAGACTGGTAGTGATGGGTCGCCATGATGATTCGTCTTGTTGCTTGGTTCACAAGAGCTTCGAAACGAAGACAATGGAGGACAATAAAATGAAGAATCTTCAGTCGCAAGGAAGGATTGAGTTTTAGCTCCCGAAGGGATGGAGGTGTATGGGAGGACACAACGGAAGGACCACGAGGAAGAATGAATGCACGTCAAACTGATAACCGCACTTGATGAGGTAGAAGAGAAAGAGAAGGAGGAAGAGGACGACGAAGGATGAGAAGAGGGTTTATATAACCTTCACCGGAGGGAAGACCCTCCGGCGGGAAAGTCCATGACGAGGGCTGTGACCTCAATTGAGAGGGGGGATGGGATGGGCGATTGATCCATTGGGCATTGGGCCATCCCCGGAGGTTTCTTTCCCACCCCCCCTTTGACACTCACTTTCCCAATTCCTCCATTTCTCTCCAATCCCAACCCCCCAATTCCGCCCGTCCCTCACTTTCTGGCCGCCAATTCGCTCCTTTCTCCGAATTGACCCCGCTCTGGCTTGGAAAGCGAAATTTTAGGGGAGATCTATGAATGGCCGGAGCCTGGTCCAGGCCGTCCCATATCTCCTCCACTCAGTCCCCAACCCGCGCTCCCGTGGCAATTTTTGTCGGGCATCCAGTCTGTCTCAGGTCAGATTCCCCATCCTCGGGCTGCGATGGACAATGGGGCCACCGGAGATATAAAAGGGGGCTGTGATGACGAGACGCCAGCCGAAATGCTTCTGATTCCGATCCTCAGCGGACGTGCGGTGTTACGTATATTATTCTTATATTGGGGACTTTTGTTGAACTATCGATCTTTCACAACTCTCTTACCCTGTCTTCTAGCTCTCAGCTCCCGTGAGAGGTTTCTGTTGTCTACCCTTCTTTCGCTCTACCTTTTCATTCTTTCATCCACCTTCCGAATCCCGTGGGCTACCCATGTGCATTAATATCAGGAGGCTGGGTGGCTGGGAAAGCTTGTGTGCTGCGGCCTGTGGTAGAAGAGCCATTCGACAGAAGGACGACCAACGGCGATAAGAATTGCGTGACTACGGAATTGCCGAATCATGAGACGACGAACCGCGGTCTTTTCATCAGCTATGCCACCGCTAGTTGGCCTAACCTAGATCAGTTCCCAGTGTTTGTCGTTTTCTTTCCGAGAAATCCTTCCGTTACTCGACGCAATTCATGTCGATGGGTGTGGATACCAGCGGGTTGGAAGCGCTTGCAGTCAAATCTCTTCAGCTAGGTTAGTATTCTGTTTCCTGTCGAGAGAAATTGGTGACGGGATTTGCATAGCAGAAAATGCATGCAAGGGTACTTCAACACGGGATGTATGAGAGATGGAAACTGACAAAATCACAGGATCTACAATGCTTAAGAAAGCCCAGAATCGAGCATCATGGGTTGGCGTTGGACACCTCTGCATATGCCGGAATTAAGTTGTGAGGGGGAGAAGGAACGCAGAAAAAGAATGAGGAAAAAGAAATGAACGAAAGAGGGCCAGAAGGTGGGCAAAAAACCGAAGGTGGCCTTGCCGCATGCTAGCTATCTCGGCCCAGCAACCTAGAACCTCTCAGGTGGCACGGCAGGGCAGAATTACACCCCTGAAATGGAGAAGAAACCGTGTAACCGACAGGGTTCCTTCCTGGTGCCAGATTGATGACGTGCGAAAGAACGCAAGGCCATCCGAGATTCCGGTACCTGCAAGTGCTTGCCCCTTTCGCTTATCAGCGGCTATGTGTGATGTTTCTTCAATCATAGAAATATTCTCAGTCAATGAGCGAGATTACACACCCAAGGCCTCAACGGGACAAGCGCTCTAAACGCCGCATCCGTGTGCAGTTCGACGGCAGA